TTATTCTAGTTAAATTAATGATTTTGAGTAGGAATATTAGTAATCTAGGAATGATTTAAAATAATTTAAATTGGATATAATTTAACGTTATGAATTTAACAGGTAACACTCGCCCCTAGTGGATTAAGGATGTAGTTTTGCTACTTCAAATTAGTTTTTCTTATGTTATCGCTTCTTGAATATTCCAAAAAAATGTAAGAACACTTTGTAACGTAATATTGACCACCTACAACGTTCTGCGATTTCTCGTTTGAGAGCTAAAATCGTAATTCAAAATGTATGGTATATTGACTCATGGGGGAAAGGTAGTTTACGATCGTCAGGTTATTAACAAGATCCGCTCGTGCAAATTCGTTTAATCGGCAAAATGAGCCTCGTTTAGCTAGTCGAATCGGTCGATTTATCGATTATTAATTTATCTCTTGTCGCCTAAAACGGTAGATTTACGATTCCTATTCAAATATTCAAAAAAGAGATAAAGAAATTGTCAAAAAAAGCGGTCTGAGATTCTTGATTAGCGGAATTACTATCTATACGATTTGATTACGTAATATTCTTGATTAGACACGCTAATAATAGCAAGGATAAAATTAACTCGTTCTTATGGGACGTCGATGAGACGAACAAGTTATTCTAACCGGAAAACGTCTTTCACAGAATAAATAGTTCCATCATCGTGCGATCGGTTTGGAACAACGAGAGAACAAACACGAACGAGAAATGCATGCGGGTGGTAGTCATAATGGAACGCATTACTCTGTGGCTCCAAATGTAACATAAGTAATATGTACTGCTTAGGACAGATCGTAATTGTGCACGGGAAAATGCGGTTAGATTGAGAAGAAAATACAGATCGTAAATATAAAATTATATCTTTCATAATATTGATAAATTATATTATATGAATATATACTAATAAATTATATATAAAATTAACAATTCATGGGGGTATGCGCTGGATTTTATAAATAATTAAAATACGTCGCACAATAAAAATATTAATCCTTCTAAAATTAATAAATATGAAATTTATGATTCATGCAATGCGTTAGATTTTACAGATAACTAAAATTTGCGTAGCACAGTAGAAATATTAACTCTCTCTAAAATTCATATATAATTTTAAAATGTTGTTATACTAAAACGCAACACACATTTATTACATACGATTCGAATGTGAAATTCATATCTTTTTTATATTCTCTACCTCATAACTTTTTTAGACTTTTTTCTTTATATTTCGAGAAATTTTCATATTTTACATAGAATTTCCATATTTTCTAATATTACATCGCTATGCTGCTTATTCGTAAGTTTAAAAATATTAACGTAAATACTCAAGATATGCAAAAACGGAGCTACAGCGGAGAACCAACTTTAGAATAAGAGACGTTGCTATAGAAACGAATTTATTGTGTGTATTCTACTTTTTATACATATAAATAAAGTTGTTACATATATAACATGAAATTATGAGATTCAGCTTTCTTAAATTCAAGATGAAGTATTATTTTCTTACGCGAACTCTGTTTTAAATTCGTATGCGCGGAATGATAAAAATTGTGATGCATGAGCGAAAATTTCAATTTCTTTGATCTCGCGCGGTTGATTATCATTGACGATCACATTAGCAAAATAAAACCGTAATTTGACTTTCAGCGTGCCGACAGCAATAGTGCAATTGCATTTTGAACGCGAATCACGCAATTCAATGAGCATTCCACGTAGACCAACTGCTGAAAGAGAAGGATTGTTAAACATCGCGCGTACTATAGCATATATTAGAGATCTGATAATTTTATTTTATATATTTTTTTTGGTTAATTTCCAAAGCTTCTTGCTTACAAAAATTATCTTTCATCTTCTAAGTAATTCTCCATAAAAAATAATAAAAAGAACAATAAAGAATAATAAATTGCGAACACTTTTAATTAAGAAAAGAAATATGGGCAAAGTTTACGGAGGTTAAGCTGGTATAAAATAATAACGTCTTTGCATTTGGTTTTAAGCAGTTTGTCGATTACTCGTGAAATATTAAGTTAATTCGCTAAATGAGACAAACTTCATACCGACAAAGTTGCTAACGCTTGCAGATATGCACTTGACTGCAATTCCCAAGTGACACATTGAGATGACGTGTAATAAAGTCATTTATATGTCTAATCTCACGGGAAATGCGCAAACGTTTTCGTTGCTGATCTCTGCTTGCTTTTGTTTCCTAATATCTAGAGCAAACTGTCAAATTTAGTGACGACAAATATAGTGTATAATTCACAGAATTCTGTTTGTCCAGAAAGCAGATATTCTTATCCCTTATAATAGGCCTGTTCTTTTTAGTTGAACTTTTGCGCTAAGTTTCTTTCTTCCTCTTCTTTCCTCCTGGAGAGAAAAAGAAGAAAGATGAACTGGTGCAAAAGTTTAGCCAAAAAAAAACAGGCCTTATGTTTGCTTGTGTTTTTGTGTGCTTCGAATTCGTTGCAGATGAAAAAAAACGGAACGACTTCGTCGTCAAGCTTAAGACTGTCGAGTTGGAATCTATCGAGTTTGAGTTGAAGTGGACCGAATCCTTCAGAAGTGTCGAGAAGTGGATAAGTGCATCCGCTATCGAATGCAGTTGCTATATAGAATCTGTATATGCACTATCGCGTTTCTATTTTTATCCTTACTTTTAGTTATATCTTCACTTTTAGATATAGTAGTTAAATCTCAGAAGTACTTTCGTTCGAGCAGAAAAAAGTGTGAGACGAGTTCATTAAAAAACAAGCTTGCACTATCCGTTTACAGTTTAGCAATTTAATTCGATGAGATCGTTTTATCCGCCACGTTAAATGGTTCGTTGGGAAAAAGCAATAAAACGATCGTGCGACCAACAGCAATTTCGTTTTGACCCAGCCCACGGATTTTTCATAAATTACATTCGACTCGCGATTTGCATTCTGAGAAGAGCTACTCTGCTCTTCTCGGTTTTGCTCCGTACTTTATTTGATAGCGGGATTTACACAATATCACGATATGTATGTATATATACGTAGTTTTGTATGGAGAAGCTGCAAATGATCTTATTTCAAGACGATTGCCATTCGACAAAGGTTTAAAGATCTTAAATGATATTTCTCAAGATATTAAATTTTACAATTCACATTTATAATTTCGCGGAATATATAGGCTGCGGTGGATTTGGACGCTTTCAGCACTTTTCAGTACTTCTATTCTTATTTTACGTCTAATGAACGAGAAAGATAAAATGATGATTACAAGCGCTTAAAGCGCGTGAGCGTCCAAATCGACCGCAGCCATACATCAGTAAATCTTTCATGTTTTTGTTGAGTTATAAATGTGGGCAGAAAAATTTATTTCACTAAATTAACGGCTAAACAATTCTGGATTAACAAATGAAAGAAACATAAGTAGAGCAAATGCGCGATTAATAATCTATAATGATCTATAATCTTATATGAGATTGCCTGTGAGTTGACAACCAATTCTTCACGTGTGTAATATATGACTATTTGCACATTATCATATCGATTTTTTTAAAGAAATTAAATGTGTAAATTATATTACTAGGATTCCGTAATTTAAGTTTATTTTTTTAATTAACACGTAGCAGCTTTTCTTTCCGAAATTTAATTATAAAGATACTAAAAAATGATAACAATAAGATACTTCATATTTTGTTGACGTAAGATAAAAAGATTTTCCGTTGTTATTATGCAAAGGTTATTTTTAATTCGCAATTTTGTTATAAATTTTTAAACACACATCGAGTCTAAATTGAAAGACATTTTGTTGTAGCAAAACTGTAAATAGATTTTGAGCCATAAAAGAAATTTAAAAAATATGACTAATTTTTAAAAGATTTTAGGTAACTGTCTGCCTGACCATCGTAGGATAAAATGCGAACCATGAATTATCTTCTAATGATTATCTAGAAAGATAAGCTTATCTCATTTAAGTGTGCTTTTATAAGAATATATGATAATTCGCAAATCACATTTATAAAATTCTAAAAAATATATATATACAAAAAGCAAGTAATTAATTCCATTAACTTTCTATTTTATATATTGGCATATACGAAATGATCATATCATTCGTTGTCGTCACACAAGGTTGAATCAGAGCTCAACAGATGGCAAAGCATGTCTGATTTCCTATATCTCCATCATTGAATTTTCAATGTATCATCCAATGTATTGTAAAAATTTCATGATTCAATTATCTTATTAAACAAGACAAAATTAAGACTAAATTCGTGTTGTAAGAATACCTGAGGTGCGATTATGTAACTCTTAATGATAGTGTCGATATCGTTAGACTGTTATTGCGCAAGTATTATACATGGTGAAAAAGCTGCGCAACGATAGTTGTTTTAATAACAGTGCTAACAAACTGTCATTAAAAATTACAGAATCGGAGTATAGGTGTAACATTTTCGTGGATGCGCAGTCAAGTGTTCAAACTCTCATGATTCAATTAGAAATCGGCCTCAAATCTGAAAAACCAATACAAACCCGTCATTAGAAATTTACCGTCAATCAGAGATTGGTCTCAAATCAATTCAAGCGTCATTATGTACAATGTTACCTTGTGTTCTTACATCAAATGTTAGGGGCTTTCCACAATAAGCCATTAGTAATAAATCAGGAGTAAGAAATTGAACAATCACAGTCAAACGTAACAATAAGAAGAATAATCGATTATGATTGGTCAATTTCTAACTCCTGACTTCTAATTTATCACTAATGGCTTATCGTAGAAAGGTTTTTACACTTTTTATTCTAATATCATGAATAGATGAAGATAAGCTAAAACATGAATCTAGGATGTTTCGTGTGATATTACGATATCGGTAAATAATATTAATAATGCTCTTTTTTTTTATCGTCGCTTTTATAATTGCCAAATAAATTTTTATTAATGAAATTACCGTGGTATAAAATCGCAAGGGACCCCCAGCATGAGAGCGAGATAATCGATGGAGAATTCGGTGCCGCGACTTCCGCAGATAATTTAAGGGCCCCGGACGACGCGGACGCGCCACGGTATGCCGTTTCGCACAATGCGCCGGATGTGAAAATTCACGAAATGCAGTGCATGATGCCGTGTCACGGTGGGTAGTGACACGCCACGTCTGTTATTTTGTGGCAGCGCGTTTCTGGCTTTCACCCGTTCCCGTATATTTCTCTTTCCCGCTACTTCCTCTTTCGGCTCCTCTTCTCGCACGCGCGTCGCCTTACTACCCGAAATGATATACATCCCGTGCAGATAAACCCGAATATGTTGACCTTACGTTTCCTCCGACATAAATGGACGAGGCTAGACAGGATATCCCGTCGACTTTGTGCCATCATTTCGGGATCTCGCGTTTTTTTTTCTTTCTCGGAGTAATTTTCGAAATGTCGCTCGGACACGAGACGCAATTTCGAACAATTACGGGATTATGTGACGTTTGGTAAATTCGCAAAAAAAAAAAAAAGAAAGAAAAAAGGACACGCGCCACTGGTGATTCAGAATTTTAAAAAATTAATACTTTATCGATTATTCTTATCTTATCGTATCTTTACAATTAATATTATGCGATTTCCATTTAACGCGGCAGTTTGTCCGCTTCTTTTCTAAAACTTGCAAGAAAATCTCTCCTGATTTCATTACGACTGAATATGGCATATAATTACGGAATTATGTGACATTAGATAAATTCGTAAAAAAAAAAGGAAAAGGGATGATTCACAGGATTTACCGATGATTCAGGATTTACAAAATCAATATTTTATCAATTATATATATTCTTATCTTATCATATTTTTATAATTAGAATTATTATTTCCATGTTATGCGGTAGCTTCTTTTAGTATTTTCTCTAAGACTTTAAAAGAAAATTTTCCAATTTCATCATGATTGAATATAGCGTATAGGTACAATTACGGAATTATGTGACGTATGAAAAATTCGTAAAAAAAGAGAAAAAAGGGACACGCGCTACCGGTGATTCAGAATTAAAAAAAATTAATACTTTATCGATTACTCTTATCTTTATAATTATATTATTGTTTCTATTTAACGTGGCAGTTTGTCTCAATTTCTTCTCTAAAATTCGAAGAAAAATCTTCTGATTTTATTATGACTGAATATGGTGTATATAATTACAGAATTATTATATGAACGTTAGGTAAATTCGTAAAAACGAAAGAAAAATATCGATGATTCGCAATTTACAAAATCAATATTTTATCAATTATTCTTATCTTATCATATCTTTATAATTAAAATTATTTCCATGTAATGCCGTAGCTTCTCTTAGAAGTTTCATTTCTAAGACTCAAAAGAAAATCTTCTGATTTCATGATTGAAAATATGATAATACAAATATAAAATTATACGACGTTTGATAAGGTCAGGAGGAAAAAAAAGAGGGACACCCTGGGTACCTATGATTCAGAATGTACAAGTTATTATCAATTACTCTTATCTTATCATATCTTTATAATTAGAACTATCATTTTCATTTAACGCGGCAATTCCGTTTTTAAGTCTCGAAGGAAAACCTCCTGACTTCGTAACGATTGAAAATAGCGTACACAGAATTTTAACTTGGAATGTTAATCGTAGTCATTATTACTCCTGAATGTTAAGCGGGAGAAAGGTAATGCGAGATGAGTACAATGAGCAAGTAGTTAAGAGGTTACACCACGCGACCAAGACGACGACCCACGCGCGTCTTACGTCCCGTGCATTCGGAATCGACACGCGAGAGGGTTCTCCTTAATACATATTAGTCCTGCGTATGGGCTAAGGGCTCCGGCGAAATTGCCATTAGTATGCTACGTGCGGATTTAATGTACGAACACGGAACCTCGCGAGTTCCACGCGACTGCCGTCCATCGTTCCTTTAAACCGCTCACGTTCCTCTTTATCTCCCCTTGGTCCCCCTCGAGCCGGCCACCATGGTGCGATCCAGCTTGTCCTCCTTATCTACTCCTTCACTGTTGATCGAAGAGTGCTTCGATAAACCAACAACTCGCTGCCCCATGTGGAATGGAGCTAGCTATTTTAATTAATTATATAATGCATATATAGTCTCACGCAAAAGCTGTTTTGTGCCTCTCTCTTTCTATAATCAATGTTGATTACTTTCTGTCAATGTTGATTAGATTAACTTTAATCTCAGTTTACTTACTTTTCATATTCTTAGAATTCTTAGAACTAACTAGAAAATTCTTAGTGTGAGGTAATTTTTGACAAAAAAAATCTATATATTCTGTATTGTCCCTTTCCAATTAACTTTAATCTCGGTTCAACTTACTCGTCAGTTTTATCTAATTCTAAGAACTATAGAAAAAGTAAATGAAGAGTAAATTGGACCAAGATTAAAGTTAATTGAAAAGAGGGTAATGTACAGAATATACAAATTTATCAAAAATTATCTAATACTCTAAGAATTTCTAGTTGAAAATGAACGAACCAAAAGATTCTGATCGATTGTATCAAAATTCTAATTATCTCAACTAGAATTATAAACTTAACAAAATTGTGATTTGTCTATTTTTAACCAGAATTCCAATTAATGCAACCAAACTCTCCTTTCCCGGTGCAAGAATAATTCTTCAAAAGATTCTCCAACGCGCTCAGTAGTTATTTTTCAAAAACTTAGATTGGAATTAATATCATGTCGAAGAAAAGTCAACTGAAAATTAATCTGTTTGCGCTCCTAATATTTTTTTTGCAATAAATAATTTCAAAACTGCGTAATTAACGCAATTATTCACGAAAGCGAGGCTTTAAAATATTCGATTCAAGCCAGGATCCGACGATCCGCAGATCTAGGGATGTCTGAGCGTATATTGCTTTCCTTTCCTGGCTCTCGAAGGTCTCCGAGTACCCGTAGCTTGGATCGCGTTTCTGCACGCGGTCAAGAGACTCGGTCCCGATAGTCTTCGCTGCGGGTACCCGGATCGCTCGTCATCTCGTACGGCTTTTGTTTCCACGCGGGACTCCGAAGGATTTTCTCGAGTAACTGCTCTTTCTCGGGCTAAAGCGCACTATACTAAGATTACACTATTCAAAATAGTATTCAGATTCAAAATGCACTGAGCGGGCAAAAAATCATCATGTATCCTCTTTACTATATTATTATACTTAATTTCTAAATTCAAATATATTATATTTGACTTAAATGCATACTCTCTTTAACAAAAGGAATAAAGACGAACCAAATTAATTTAATCAAATGAACAATTCTTTTTTTCAGTATAACATTCTGTATCTCGAACAGGATGCTTTAGAACTTATTGTTAAGTGTAGTTTTCATAATTGTAGTTGAGGGAGTTATATAATTATTGTATAATTTTTTATTAATTTTTATGATTATATTTTTTGTACCTCATTATTTATTTATTTCGATTTGACTGAAAAAGGTTAGGTGAAGTCAAAACTATCCCATCACCATTTCGTTTTAAAATAAAATTTATTTCTTTTATTTGACATCATTTTATTGCTCGTCTTGGCCTCTTTTTCTTTTAGTATAAAAACATTTCCTTTATGAAAAAAATAATTGATTTTAAATCGTTGAAAGAATCTACTATTAAAATTATAATCATAAATTGAAACTTAAATTTTGTCTTTAAATGTTGTTAACATGGTGATAAAATTCATTGGAAAAAAAATCCTTCTCGAAGTTTCTCGCCGCTAATCTACGATATATAACAGCATCATATTGTGTCAGGGAGAAAATAATGAATTTGCAGCGCGTAATCGTGTGCACTCTTATCTTGTTTGTTACACGCCGTGGAGGACAGATTAGATAACGGAAATCCTCGCACTTAATTTCGATAGATTCTCCTTCAATATATATACAGATTATAATACAGTTCACTCGATTTCTTTTGTATTTTTAGATTGTAACATGCCTTATCGCTAGATCACAGTTGTGAAAAAAGATGTTTTAACGGAGGACGTTCTAATAACGTTTTACCTTGAACCAGTCTGCGCTCGTCGTGCTTTTCATGTGATAATAACGACGCTGCGTAGCATTAGTAGGGCGATATCTTGAAATTAGTCAGCGAGGGCATCCTTATCCAAGACTCTCGTCATGTTGACGGTGCACGTGTAGCCGGTGGATACGAAAGCGTGCTTGCAACGTTCGCGAGCTCGCCCGATACCGAACGACAACGCGTAGTATGAGTCACACTCGGGTGAGTCAGTGAAGGCTCGCATGTGAAATAAATCAAAATGCATATCTCTGCGGTTAGGCCCTCGGTCATCTTAGACATCTAGTCTTCGAGGAATTAATCGATTTAAATCTTAGAAAATCCATCCTGATGTACACTGATCAATCGATATCGCAAACGATCGTATCGATACGTAAAATTTGTTTATTTCTGCGAAATCAGTCTAATGGGAAATTAAAGGTCTTTTTTACGTCTCGAGATTTAAATTAAGGAAAAAGTATTCCAAATTGCAGTCGCAGATTAATATTCGCATGATGAAACGTTCTACTCGCTGTCGGACTTGTACTCTCAGAAGAGCCTTGGAAACGGCTCACGTGTGACTTCTCATTTTCGTGAAACTATCTTCGATGCTCATCACGTAGGGTCTTCAAGAGTCGCGCGAGCTCACGATCGACGGTAAAAACAAGCCGCGTGTATCGCACACATCTTCGGAGACGACACGCATGTTGACGTCACATCCTGGGCGCCACCGACCACACGTTAGAACATCCTAAAGACGCATCTTAGATAGACGTTTAAAGCTGACAGGAAACTATGTGAACAATTATGCTTATGCTCGTTTAAAAATATATAAAATATACTACAGCTATGTTTTCTCAAATTATTTCGATCTATGCATAGTTAATCATAATTAACTAAATTAAATATATATATATATAATTAAATATATAAATATATTATATATATATATATATATATCACATTCAAAGTATTAACTCGATGTTAACTCAATATAAGTATACACTTGCTGCTATAATTTGCTGTAGTGGATGTGTGCAATTACTATACATACATTGTTAAAAATAAAATATCAATTTTAACTTAAATACATATAGTGGACTTTCTGAGATATGCAGAAATTAAATTAACATTTTTATGTACACAAATGTTAATTTTAATATTTATATACGTCTTTAGGTTAAAATTAACCTTTTATTTTTAATAGTATGAATGTATACGTTGATTAGTAAGTGTATACATTTACTAAAGTTAACACTGTGATATATATATTTTTTATTATTGCATAAT